GAAAGGGTGTGTGGGTTCTTCCTTAGGGGAGTGCAGGGCAGGACTGGTGAGGGAGGAATGTCTGAAAGGGATCCTCATAGTTTTCTCTCCCTTACGGCACACACAGAAAACACTAAGTACTGAAGGAGAACGAACGCACACCCACACGCACCCGGGAAGCCCCGAGCACCCCGGGGCCCTCCAGCAGGACGGGCGGCAGGGACAGACAGCATTTGAGCGGAGCCCATTTGAACAAGCAGGAAGCATCCCAGACTGAAGGACAAAGCAGCTGGGTAGCTGAAATTTTAGAAGGTGAAGGTCAGGAGTCTGAGGAAGGCCGCCCTCTAGGACCCAGCCCACCCCCGCCCGCCTCACCCCATCGTGGCCAGAGCCACCAAGAGAAAAACCTCAGCTCAGGGGATCAGTGGCAGCTGACGAGGCAAAAGCATGGTCGTTTCTTTCCAAGAGCAAAAACCACCCCCCAAAGGCAAGGCTTGTCCTTGTCCTAGTTCATGCCTTAATGGGCGACCAAGGGGGTGGCAGGAGGAGGTTCGCGGTTTCTCAACATGGGCCGGTTTTGTTTTTTCTCTTTGTGGTCTTGCAAGATCTTAGACACGGGGCTGAGGTGCTGGGCAGAGCGCCAAGCTGCTTTCTGAGGCCGCACAAATCCTGCACTGACTCCAAGTGCCTTTCCGACACCGAATCTCCCCATTTCCTCTCCTCTCTCCTTGCTGAGCACCAGGGTTGCACTTGAAGTCTCAGAAATGCCTGGCTTTCATCTCCAGACCTGCTGGTAGGGAGGGTCTGCCATCCTGGCCCGGCCTTGGTGGGGAGGTGGGTGGTGCTGGGAGAGGGATCCTTCCGTGCCTCTGTGGAACCCAGACACCCCTTCTAATCCCCAAGGCTCCTGACATGTCTGCATCCTTTCAACGAGCCTACTCCTTGAGTCTTGAATTGTTAACTATTTCTCTCTGGTTCCTGGAATCTGGGCAGTGCTAACGTCACACTTTTCAGTGCCTGTTCTTTCATCCTGAAGAGGTAATCCGGTATCCGTGCACCCCCCAGGGTCTGCCCCTGCTTGGTCCCCATGTGGGGAGGCCCCAGAGTCTGTGGGGCCGGCCTCGTTAAGCAGCACGTGAGCCGTGTGCCTTGTAAGCACCTGCCATGTAGGAAACAAATCTTCATCGAGAAACTTTAAGATTTTCAAGGGAAAAAAATGCTTATGGTGTTTTTTTTTTCTCTTAAGTTGTATTTTGTGTTTCCCGGTCCTTCCATTCCATTAAGTGACCTTTCCCATGCCCTTGAGCACTTTTGTAAACATCCGAACGGAATTTTGAAGGATTACACCAAGGTAGTAGCTAGCAACATCTCCACTGACAGCACGACCTGGCCACGGCACCCCCTCTTTCCTCTCGTGGCCTTGAGTCAACCACAAACCTCTTGGACCCTCACGGGCCAAGTCACTGTGCCACCGGATCATTTATATCTTTCTTCTACGGCTTCGGTCTCCTTATCCATAAAGTAAAGCTAACCTAGAGAATTCTTTAACACCCTTTTCAACTCTCTAATTCTAGGACCTTAAGTCATATTCAAGAAAAGATAAAATAAGGAAATTCTACCATCTCATCTCAGCACTGCGTCCTGACACCTTTGTGCTTTTCTGGCTACCCCCCTGCTGTTGAGTCTGGGCAGTTTGGGATTTGTGCAATAAATAAGTCACCCTGCCCTCAGACAGCCCTGGCTGCAGGAAGCCCTCATCATCAGCTTGTCGATGCCAACAACCAAGATGCAAATTTTCTCTTTGGAAGAGAACGCACAGACTGCTCAGTACTTTTCTCCCCCTCATATTAAAAAAAAAAAAAAATCTCTTATCTGCACTTCTGCAGATATTAAAATGTGAGACTGAGCATTTCCGGCAGATCAACACAACACGGGGTGGGGACAGAGCTCGGATGAGCATATTAGATCACAGGTGTGTGTCCCGTTTATCATATGACCAACAGACCGGCACTAAGGCTTCCTGCCTGGCTTGGGGATCTAGGAGTACAGTGGCCTCCTAATGATCATCAAAGCAGGGTAAGAACTTAACAGACATTAGCTAATCTGTAGCAGGCACAAACCAAGACTTCCCGTGTAAACAAGACAGTCCTGCACAAACCGGGATGTATATTAACTCTGCGTAGTAACCAAAGCTTTCAGAATTCATGACATAAGCAGAGAGCTGGCCTACAGCCCTTCTAGGAAATTGCTAAAACAGCATCACTCTGTCTTCCTCCTACTTCTCTGCCGGCTCCTCCTTGGTCTCCCTCCTTCCCTGCCTTCCCTCTTCCAGCCAATCTACTAGAGTTCTCTTCTGGGTCCTAATCTCTTTTCTTCTCATTCCATCTACCCCCATCTCTAGGCAAGATGATCTCCATGCCCAAAGCTTAAAACTAACAAAGAACAGAGGAATCTGCATCCTCAGAAAGATGTACTGTACTTCCCACCTCCACACCTGCATTCACAGACAACTGTATCCTCAGTGCGCGACTTCTCAAACTGCACGTGTCTGAAGGGAAGCCCTTGATCTGTCCTATCCCACACTCCCAAATACAGTCTCCTGCCATGGTCTTGATGGCCTCCATCCATAGTTTTCAGACTGAAGCCCGAGAGTTTTTCCTCAACATCTCCATCTCCCTGATGCCCCACCAATGGCCGAGAGCTGCTGATTCAGCTCCTAAATGTATCTCGAACGAGTTCACTCTGCCCACCCCTATTGCTGCCACCTCCCCCAAGCCCCCATCACCTTGCCCTCGGGACCGATAATTCATCCTTTGGTTGGCACTCCCCATCTTCCCCATCCATGAGGCCCACCCGCTTCCTAACCTGGTCCATTTCCCATAAGGAAATCAGAGAAGCCCTTATACCATTCAAACAGGACCAACATTTTTCCTAATTTAAAGCCCTTCTCTGGATCCTTATTGTTCTTAAGATTGTGTTCAAAATCCTCAACTGCCTGATGACCAGATTCTTCTTTTTCTCTCCCACACTGAATTTCCCATTTCAGCACTTTCTCACTTGCTTTCCCCTTTGCCTAAAACAGTCTTTCACGGGGCTCCTCATGCCCCACTGTGCACGTGAGCACGTGTGCGCGCACACACACACACATCTCCCTTGTGCATGCCTATCTCCTACATGTTCCCACAGCTTGGTTTAATGCATTTTCCTTGGGGAAGCCTCTGACCACCTAGAGTAGGTCCCTTGGGTAAACACAGTCAGAGAACCTCTACCCTATTTTAATTAGTGATATTTTCCATGTCTATCTTCCCCCATATTAAGTACTTAATAACGAGTACTTGGGGTGCATGGATGGCTCAATCAAGTGTCCAACTCATAATTTTGGCTCAAGTCATGATCTTGGGGTCATGAGATCAAGCCGTGCATCAGGCTCCGCACTCAGTGGCGAGTCTGCTTGAGATTCTCTCCTCCCCTTCTCTGCCTCTACTTCCACTTCCCTGTGCGTGTATACGGGTGCCCTCTCATTTTCAAATAAACGAAACTTTAAAATGAATAGATAGATAGCACTTAACCAAAAGAAAGAAGAAGTGGAAGAAGGGAGAGGGGTCGGGCAACAGCCACACTCCTACTGGCCCCTGCCCCACCCCATTCCTGCTGGAGCCGAAATGGGAGAATAGAAGAATGGGTTTAGGAAAATGAGCAAAATGGCCAAAGAAACACCATGTGATACTCAAGGCCAACTTTCAGGAAAGCTGGTACTCTTCATCTGCATCTATTTTTACCTCTAAGATACCCCAAATGGAGACAATAATCCAGAAAGAAGGGGAACGTGCAAGGGTCAGATGGAGTACACTACTGTTTTGTATGCAGGTGGGTCATTCACGGACCTGGGCTTTCCGGTCCCTGAAGACAGAGAACAGGATGATCTCTGAGGCTCTGGGGATCCAGCTCTGTGGGCCGGGGGTGGCTCTGAGCCCAAGGTTCCCACTCTGTGTGGCTTCCACCAGTACCTTAACCAAAACACAGCATGTTTCCACATGCTCAGGGCACAGTGGTCCATTCCTTCATTACATGTGCTAAAAACCACGCACATCTGAGCCCCTCAGAGCTCACCATGAGTACGCCCTCTTCAAAAAAGGGAAGAATTCAGCCCTGCCTGCCCAGACAGAGCTGCTTTGAAATCTGTGTTTCCTGAAGGGAACAAGAACCAAAGGTAGGAACCACACTCGGAGCATGTAATTTAAGTATTAGTGACTGAAGTGATCCAGCAAAAGCAACTCAGAATAGAAAGGTTTCCTCTTCCAGTCCTCCTCTGCAATTTTTTTTTTTTCCGCTGTTAAAATATTTTCCACGTAACAACCCAATTTTCCGCTCAATGTATTTTAGATATTGGGATTTCCCATGCCTGACTCCCACTCTCCTTTACTGATCCCACTTTTCAGTAAACAAGAGATGTAAGAGAGATGTTCGCTAGAGACAGGCAGAATTAGGGCACAAATAAAATTATGTGTTCAAACGTGGGCAGCTTCATAGATCAGTTCTTCAGTGGAAGAGATGCTAAATTATTTAAATCAACAGCAGCATTTGTAATACATAATGAAAAGGCAGCAAGGATCTCATGGAAGTGAACTAGGAGGAGGTAGTTACATTGGCCCAAAGCAAGGACGGGCCTCTTAGTCCACAGACCGTTAGGGTGGACAGTAAAGGGTGATTTACGTTTGTTGTGAAATTTGTCAATATCTCCGGAAAAGAACCACACCGTGTTTGTGAAAGCTCCTGCTGTAAAATTGGTGGGGTTAGCCCCCACACAGTTGTCGACAGTGGAGGGTAAAAGCTAAGAAATTCTTCTCCTACCAGGGCTCCAAAGGACTAGAGATCTGTTCATCAGTACAAGCTGAAATTATGCAGGACTCACTGACAAGTCTTCCCATCGTGAGTGTGTGCCCAAACAGCTGGGCCGGCATTCAAAACGGTGAGGTAAGAGATCTACATTAACACCAAGTAACAGTTTCCAGACTACTTACATCGGTGTCAGGTCCCTTATCCGCACCCGGACAAGAAAAAGTGACAAACTCATGGCACCTCTTGTGAACCACAAAACAGCAAACTGGTGGAGAGAAAAGAAAACTAAAATTAGTAATTTAATACACAGGCTGTGTTTTTCCAAAACGAGGCTCTATGTCCCTCTAGAAGTCAGCTTGATTTCAATACAGACAGAGTCTCCCAACAGCAATCAGAAGACATTTTATGCGAGACTCAGCAACATTTGGTATTAATTGGACTTAGAGATAATAGAACCATAAAATGTCAGGTCTGACAGGGCCCAAGGAGACCCAAACCCTGGTTCCTATTCTCTAAAGTTGAGAGGGATCAGACAGTGATCGTTAAGACACTTGCCAAGATATAAACCAGAAATCAAAACTTAAACTACTTTGCACAGTCCTATGCCAATACACACACATGCATATAAAGGGGGAAAAGAAAAAAAATAACAGATCATACATAGAGTGACATCCCTGTGTGTTATAGAACTTCCTCAGCAGAATTCTGAATTCAAAGAACTCATTAAGACACAAACCCAGAGAGTACCAGGGTGGCTCAGTCGGTGAAGCGTCTGCCTTAGGCTCAGGTCATGATCCCACGGTCTTGGGACTGAGCCCTGCATCAGGCTCCCTGCTCAGCGGGGAGACTGCTTCCCCTCCCCCTCTGCCCCTCCCCTTGCTCGTGCTCTCTCTCCCCCTTGTCTGCTCTCGTTCTATCTCAAATAAATAAAATCTTAAAAAAGGACACAAACCCAATCTACAGAAAACAGCCCTTTGAAATGAAAAAGAAAGAAAAGGCAAACACAGTCACACGTTCCTGCACGTGCACGCTTGCCATAGAGACTATCACCAGTTGAGGACAGACCCACAGATCTACCAAAGAGCAAATATTTCCCAAGTTCAATGCGGTTTTGATAAATATTCAGGATGGGTCAATAAAAGAATTGTTATAGAAATTAATAAGTAATTCCCTAAGAGATTTTGTGGATGGTATAATGTGGAGGATCCAAAAAAAGATAAACGACCCAGTTAGTCCTTCCTTGAGAGCTTGGAGTCTCTAAGGGTATGACCAACTACTCCACTGTTCTTTGTTGAACAACGTGCTAAAAGATATCCCACCATAAACAGTGGGTGAGTCCTAAGTCATTGCCGCAGAAGGAACAGAGCTCCCCAGAATCGGGGCTCTTTTCTTTCCCCCAACAAGACCACAATTCCCGGCGCATGTGGCCATAGACAAGCCAATGAAGACAGTCAGTTGTTCCAGGAAGGGGGAGAAGGTGGCAGGTTTGTGGCAATCCCAGGAGGAGAACAAGTCCCACGCCTCGTGCAAGGAAACCACACAGAGGGCCCAAGTGGCCACGAAGACGCTCGGGATATTTTTGATGAGCTTTGGCAGCCACGTAAGATTCAAACAAGAGTAATGTGGACAAAAACAGTGCTTTAGAAGGGCAAATGGTGGCAACAGGAAGAACTGAATGGACTAGATCTGGGCCAAGAGGCCCAATTAGAAGTCTCTTGCCTGGTCTACAAATGAAAGTAATCACCCATCATTATTCGGTCTGCTAAGAAATGAAAATAACAGATACCAGAGAAATTGCAGAAGAACAGACCTGACTTTTCAAGGGACCAAAGCTACTGCTGAGTGTCTTATTATGTGTCATTTGGATGCGTCCCTTCACAGTCCATACCTGAGTCTTCATGACGTGACGTAATATGCGTCAACACCTACATTGTATCAAACACAAAATATCGTTTCCCCTTTCCTTCCACTGTGTCCTAAGCCACTGACAGGAGGAAAAAAAGATGTGAGAGACGATGCCAAGATTTTATACATGGGGGACAGGAAAATCAATACCTGAAAGGAATTACATATATATTTAAAATATATGTATTACGTGTGTGTGCGTGTGTATGTGTGTGTGTTTTAGATAGATAAAATAACCAGAGGATGAAGATGTGGGTGCACCCTGTCAGGGTAGTGGATAACGGACAGTTGTTTTCTTATGCAATAGTTTTTTTTTTTTTTAAAGGTGGTCATAATACAATATCAGTATAAAAATACTTCTGTTAAAAAAAGAATACGTGAGAGGCACCTGGGTGGCTCAGTGGGTTAAAGCCTCTGCCTTCGGCTCAGGTCATGATCTCAGGGTCCTGGGATTGAGCCCCATGTCAGGCTCTCTGCTCAGCAGGGAGCCTGCTTCCTCCTCTCTCTCTTTGCCTGCCTCTCTGCCTACTTGTGATATCTGTCAAATAAATAAAATCTTTAAAAAAAAATATGTGGGCCTGGAATGAGCAGGTGGCATTGGACACAGGAGGGGACCATACACAGGAAGCTGACAATAGAAGAGATCTTGAAAAGCATCCTTTTGGGAGCAGAGGCACCCAACGGAAGTGTTCTCGTGGCTGCCTGCCCTTCCCACCACACTTGCCCACCAGGAGGGCAGGAGAGGACAGTGAAGCTAGGGACAGGCAGCCCCCAGGCTGCCCCAGCAGGCCCAAGACACCGCGAAGGGCAGCACTTAGCTCCTCCAAGCCCTCAGAACAGCTTTTTCCACAATGTTTCTGCTAAAAGCATGCCCAGGGCAACCCTCCCTAAGGATGGGCGGGTGGTGAAGCGGAACCCGGATGGCACAAACCCGTCTCATCGGTTCACTCTCCCCAGGCATGAAGTCACCGCTCACTCATTGGAATCAGAAAGCGAAATTATGCAAGGAAAAGGGCCGCGGGAGCTTTATTTCCCCATCACAGTTGAATATGGATATGGGGTTTGGAAGGGAAGACGAGCATTTGGATTCCCTTACTTAATCGTTCGACATACGGGGTTTTTTGGGGTTTAGTTCAGGTGAACATATATGAAAACCTGTATTTATCAAATCCATTTAGATGGCTTTTTTTGTATTGGTCCTTTCTATTCCCAACTACCGGTCCATGCTAATATAAATCTCAAACCACCAAATACTTCTACTGTATGCCTCAAAAAAAAAAAAAAAAAAGTCTTATATCCAATTTTATCCCAGGAGGCCCTCACTACACAGTATAATTTGCAGGCACAGTTAAAAAAGTCTCATCTACCCCCAAAATTACTTCCTCCTAGCCTACCTTAGCTGCCTCTCCTCCCTCCTGCCTTACACATGAAAGTCCCATCTAGAAAGATCTAGATTCACCCAACGGCAGGTAGAGAAATGGATCCTCTGAGGGCTGGTCATGCATGTGAGCTACCTGGAAGATAAAGGCCTTGTAAGGCTTGCTCCGAGACTTAAGATTCAGAATGGATGACCTTCAGAGGAAGAAGAAACAACCCATGCTTAGGTGAGTAAGACAAGGAGAGAAAGCCCAGTTACGCCCTCCTCCTTTCCCACCCCCACGCCAGGGGCAGGGAAGAGGATGTGATGGCAGCCTCGGGCTGGGAAAGGCCACCCCGGGAAGATGAGCAAGGGTCAGAGATTCCAAAATGACGGCTGGTGGGCCTTGACCTTGGGTTTCAAGTTCCTAACTAAACTGGATAATGCATATTTTGTAAGATAATATAATGCAAACATTTGAGAAGTCTTGCTAGGGTGGCCGAAGAATGAGGAACAGATTCAATGTGTCTGGTTTACCTGGAGATGGTCAGCACAGAATTTCCCCAGGCTAAAAATCAGGAGCGGTTTTTATTGATTACTTCTAAAGGTCTTCATCTCACCATGCTATATGGAGCCAGGGGAGCTGGGGAGAGCTGGAGACAAGGCAGCTCTGTCACACCATGTGGATCTCATACATATTTGTCTGACCTTGGCAGGCAGGAAATGGAGACATGCATCACGGAAGGGTCCTCCCGCTCCATGGTGTGTCCTGGAGCTGGACCCTTGGTGATTAAATAAGAATTTGCTTAAGCAAGCACAGGCTGGCCAAACAGAGATGAGGCCCCATTTTCCAAGACTTTGGGGGCATGTCTGCTTATATAACCAAATGATAGGTTTTAAAATATGAAGCTATCTCCTGTAGCTTAGAGTCACCAAGTAAATCTTCATTCAATTATTTTCTAAGCACAAAATCACTTTCCTCTAATCCTCTATGTGATATGCTTATGCTGCCCAACAAGTGATGCAGGACACGTGAAATGCACAAAGCACACTAAGCGAATGATGTGGGAGGACAAAAAAAAATAAAAGATGGGAGGCTTGGTCAAATAAGGAGTATTCACATTACCTGGCTTTAAAATGGAGGGGGTTTCATCGACTGATACATTATCACACGCTCATCTTACTTACGGAAGGAAACTAAATGGAAATTAAGGAGAGTGTTCACCATCTGTCAGAAATAGATTTCCAAGACAGAGTAAGAGTCAACTACGTTTGGGTCAAGAATTCGTAATGATTTCTGAAACACAGAGGTTGCGTGGGGATGCCGCCGTGTGCATGGACGTTAGCAGCGGTTCTCAGTCGTGCTCGTTAAAGTGAACAGAACCCAACAAAGAATAATCTGAAAGTCAAACGCTTTGTGTGAGAGAAATGCTCCCTTCTGACACTGTACCCCCATGAATTTGATCAGAATTAACTATAATGGTCTTGGCTCATTAGACACAGGAGAAGGCTTGCTTTCAGCGCCAAATGTCATCACGCAGATGGATGACTTGGGGCTCTTGGTACTAGACAGTGTTCTCCAGAGTGAGCTCGGGCAAGTGGCAAGCCCAGAGACATTTTCTGTTTCATTTAAACAGAGCTTTACCAAACAAACAAACAAACCAAAAAACCGCACAGTGAGCTGATGAAGGAATGAAGGAATGAGTTTCAGCTACTTGCTTCCTGCTTGTCGAGGCAAAATGCTCCTTACAAATGCCCCCAACACGAATCACATGTAAATCAAGGAGTTGCGGCAACTGCTCTGACAAGAGAGAAAATTCTGACTGAAGGTGATTAGTCACCACCTCATACCCACTAGGAAGACTATTAAGAAAACAAAGCATGACAAAGAGGATGAGGAGAAACTGGAGCTCCGGCCATCCCTGGGGAGACCAGAAGACGGTAGGAAAAGTAAACACAGAACTGCCCTTTGATCGGACAATCCCACTGCTGGGTCTCAAACA